GGGAACACCTCCAAGCAGATGGTAGTCCTGGGGTCTCTTCTGGTTCCCCTTTTCTTTCTTCTGACTTCCTCATTCTTGTGTTGTCCTCCCCCTGGCCATTGAAAATGTTATCTCCTCCCATCCATTATGCAGGGGAGTTTTTTACTTTATTTGTTCAGGCCCAGATGTGTCAGGCTTCCATAGCCCATGGTGGGGGGGCATGATTTATGGTAATGATGGTATAACGAAGCCAGGGTCACTTGAGGACACTCTTGCCCTCCATCTGCACAGGTATCTCCCGAGGAGCTCCCCCAAACTGTAATCAACAAGGTGTTTTTGTAATAGAATCAGAACAGGTGGTTATTCATAAGAGGGTTATTCATAAGGGTCAATTGCAGCTTGACCATAGCTTTTGTTCTCATTGATGCGTGACCCTAATTTTGTTCCTATCGTTCTGCCCCACCTGTGTTCCCTATTCTGATCTCCTGCCTCAGTTGAATTTAGCAGTCTTTTGTGGTTGTTTTTGTTGTGTCTTATTTAAGAAATCCTTCCCTACTTCTGTATTTTCTTCTAAAAGTTTTAAGTTTTGCTTTTCACATTTAAGTATCTAATTCTAAGTTGAGTTTTTCCTCTTATGAATAGCCAGTTGTTCTGGCTCGATTTATTGAGCAGTCTGTCTTTTTCTCAGTGGTTTGCAGTGTCATTTCTGTCACATACCAGAGTTCCGTACGTGCATGGGTTAGTCGTGGGTTCTGCTTAGTTGTTCCCTTTGTCTGTCTCTGTGCCGTCACGCTACTATCTTATTTACCACAGCTTTGTATTGATAATATGTTCAGCATGTAGTAGAATCATCTTTATTCAATTTATCTTTGTCTTTTAGCTAGTAAATTTAGTCCTTTGATACTCGTGATTTCATAACAGAGTTAGATTTATTTCTACCATCTTTTTTCCTCTTTTCCTGCTTTTTATAGCTTTGATTTATTTTTCTTTATTCCTCCTTTTTCTCTTCTTTAGGTTGTAAATGATATACAGTTGACCCTTGAACAAAATAGGGGTTTAGGGGTGCTGACTCCCTGCATCCCCCTACACAGTTGAAAATCCTCATATAACTTTTGACTCCCCAGAAGCTTAACTACTAATAAATAGCCTGCTGTTGACCAGAAGCCATACAGTTTACATAAACAGTTGATTAATGTATATTTTGTATATCATATGTATTATATACTGTATTCTTACAATAAAGTAGACTAGAGAAAAGAAAATGTTATTAAG